AACCTAAGCAGTTCAAAACCCATGTTGTTCAAGAAGGGTCAACTGTTGTTTCAAGGCTCAAAACCACCAAATACTATACCCAACAGTGTATGACATAAAGTCAAAACATTTCTTCATTGGACACCATTGTAAAAACATTCATTTGCACTGAGATTTACATGACTTAAACAGATTTAAACATTTTTCTCTCCCAACAATATTTGCCTTTAGTAATGATCGGAGCTTTGAAGCCAGTGGGCCTTAACTATTAGGCATTAACCTGCATCCTTGAACTTTCACCTCATGTTGCCTCCAGGCTGTCCTGTATGTAGCTGAACCTCTTCCAGCCACATCCAGCCTCTCCTTGTATCAAAGGTCCCCTCACAGGAGCCCCTCACTGTCCTACCCAGTGGTCTTTTGCCAGCTTTGATTTCCTTGATTCTAACTCAGGACCTCTTGAGGCCCATTTCAGTGTGTTGTATTTTCTGTAGACAGGCAATCAGAGCTGGAGGAAAAAAAAGCAGGACTAGAGATAAAGGGCCTCAATTTCTAGAGAAGATATGTATAAGACTTGGAGATTATTCAGCCTATCTCACCAACTGGTATTATCATTAAACCTAATATGACAGACACATTTGGACATTGATTTTTTTTCTAGTTTACTAACCACTTGCTCCCAACCACAAGAGCTGACTGTATGTTCATCATGACTATTATTTATCAGGCCCTTGTGATAAGCCAGGCATTGCCCTTCACATTTTACCAATGTTACACAATCAGTCTTCAGGGCTACCCTTTGAGGTGGCTATTTTCCCCACTGTGCAAGTCAGAACCAGGGAGGCTGACTGGCTTGCCAGAGGCCACACAGCTGGCAAGTGGCAGAGGCATATTTTGAATGTGATCTCTCTGACTTGGAAGCCCATATTCTTTCTCCAACAGGGTTTAGCCTAACTACCATATGAACAAATGGGAATCTGACCTTTGTTAAATCTCTGCAAGGAAGCTGGCGCACAACTGGCCTTGGTCACCTTCTTATCGCTTAAAATATATGTAATAACAAGTAAACCTCCTTGCCTAAATAATGGTATTATAATCCTTTAATTTCCTGTTAAGAGTCTGGAGGCAGAGAAAAGTCAAGGGACTTTTTCTAGGCTGCACAGTAAGAGAGAGCTCTGATTCTTTCTTCTCTCTTTAATAAATACTCTAACTACCAGATTAAGTTTCAGTTATTCTGAATTCCACCAAGAAAACTGAGCCATTAATTTGGGTAAAGAGCTCCAGGATCAGATTCACTAAAAAGAAAAGTCCATTCTAAAATCCCCAAATGGATTGCCCTGTAACCTTCTACATTAATTTCCAAACTTAGCTACGCAGAACAGTTACCCAAGATTCTGGGAAGGGGTCTGGGCATACATGTATTTTTAAACAAGCTGCAAAGTGAAATCTAAGAACTGTCAATCTTGTGGAGGAGACAGAAATCATATTAGTTATCCATTGCTTCCTAACAAATCACTCCAAGACTTAGCATATTAACACAATAACCATTTCTCTCATCATTTTTGTGTGGCTTAGCTGGGTCTCTCTGGCTCAGGGTCTGCCACAAGGCTGCAATCAGGGAGTCAGCAAATTCAACACTCATTTGGGAAAGGAACTTTTTCCAAGTTCACTCACATGACTGTTAGCAGGATTCAGTTTCTCACAGGCTGATGAGCAGAGAGAGGGCCTCAGTTCCTTGCTGGCTGTTGACAGATGCCTTGCTCAGTGTCCCGCTGCAGTGGCTTCTCCAGAGGGCACCTCACAATGTGGCAGATGGCTTTTCTCTCAGAGTGTGTGCAGGAGAGACCAAGAGAAAGCAAGCAAGATGGAAGCCACAGTTTTTTTGTAACCTAATCTTGAAAATGAAATCCCATCACACTTGCTGTAATCTGTTCATTAGGATGAAGTCATTAAATCCAACCCACCATCAGGGAGAGGAGATTACACAAAGGTGTGACCATCAGGAGACAGGTGTCATTGGGAGCCATTTTAGAGGCAGCCTATCACTGAGATGTAAACAAAGAACTAAAAAAGTGGTAATATATTTTCTAGCTCTGTCCACTAAGAAAGGCTAGATTGAATGACACCCCAGTATCAACATGTACACTAGTGCCTAGATACTAGTTTCTAAATACCATTCCAGGACTCCCTGGGAAAAATGTTAACTCTGATTCTGAGGCAGGAAAAATACAGGATCAGCCTGCAGCCCCTTGAAATTCAAGAGAAAAGATTATCAAAAACCAATAGGCACATTGGAATCAACCTAAAAAGCTAAAGGGGAAACAATTTGAACAATAAAATAAAAATCCCAAGATATAAAACAAAGTGTAAAATAGGTATACATGACTATTTACAAGTGATTGAATATTAAATACATGGGTAGGGGACCAATCTTCCTTAGAGAAGAACTCTAAATACTTTATGTAGATATTCTGTTCCAGGCATTGAAGTTTAATCTCCTATTCCTCTTGACGCTGGATGGGATTTAGTGACTTGCTTCCAAAGAAGAGAATATGGAAAGAAAGGGGAAAATTACAGCTCTGCAGTGGAGAACTTGCAAACATTACCATGGGCCCTTCTGGAGTTTGGGAATAGTGTACCAATTTTGGCTCCTTAGGTTTATAAAAGTATCATAGTCATGTGAGGCGTTAGCATTAGGGGAAATAGAAAATACATGACCACGTTCCTTAAAAACTATTATGGCCATGTCAAAGTTATGAGAAACAAGGAGAGACTAAGAAATTGTAATAGACCGTAGGAGTCTGAGGAGATATGATGACTAAATGCAAAGTGGCATCTGTGACTGGACCCTAGAACAAAAAGGACATTAGTAAAACCTGAATCAAGTCTAGAGTTTAGTAAATCGTAATGTAGCAATGTTGGCTGCTTAGGTTTGCAAATGCACCATAGTAATGTTAAGATGTTTTATTTATCTATGTATTTTGTTAATTTTTTTGTTAAGATGTTTTTATTGGAGGAAACGATGATGATAACAGAAACTTCTTTACTATCTTTGCAACTTTTCTGTAAATCTAAAATTATTCCAATACAGAGACAGCCACCAATCACTTATCACAGAAGTGGCCCATGTTCAGCTCACTGTCTTCCCCTCACCCAGCTACCCCAAATGCCCAGGGCTACTCCAGGACACCTCATGCAGACAAGTGTGAAGGAAGGGAACTTGGAATGAAAGACAGGTCTTAACCAATCCCCATTTGAGGAGTGCTTTAAGACATTGAAGGGATCAAGGGCAGGCTGCCCCAAGGTGTGCCATTGTGAAATGCAGAGTATTTTGAGCTGCTAACCATCAAGGCCCAAAAGACTCATAAAAAACTTTGACCTCCTACTCCCCAACTGCATAAAAAGACTTTAGATGGAGGAGCTACTGTAGGAGGAGAAGTATCACCCTAGATAACTATATTATAGTGTGAACTGGGTGTGGTAGACAGGGAGGGATGTGGCTAAGTCTGTTAAAATTCCTCTTTGTGCCCCCTCATTGCTTCTGTGTGGCCCAGCAAATATTTGTTTATCAAACATTTACTCTTTTCATATTCCTGTGAATTACTTGCTTTTTTCTTTTAAGTCTCAGAACACCTATCTCCTTCTCGGTGGTTCACAATCAAATACATACCTCATTTTCCCTGTCTTTTGAACCCAAGTCTATGACTTCCCCATAAGTACATAATTAAACCTTGGCTTTTACACCTGTTAACCTCTCATGTCAATTTCATTCTTAGACCAGCTAGAAGAACCTCTGGATAGAGGAAATTTCTTTCTCCCAATAACATTTTCCTTTAAAAGAGTAGAGAACAACAATGACCAATGAACTCAGTTCTAAGATCCCACCTTGGGTCTTGGAAGGGGCTGGTGCAAGTCATGGGGCCTAGGCACAAGCTTCATCAGTTTCTCAATAAATTCACCCTACAAAGATCTCAGAAGAAACAAGTGCACTTTGGCCAGAAACGCTGCTACTCTCATCAATCCTCAGCCTAAGCACTCCCTCCTCCAGGATGTGTTTGCCTGAGCCCCCCACCAGTTTAGGCAGGTCTCCCAGGATCCCTCCATGCCTCCATTATGACACTCGGCTACATACCTTAAGTTTTTGTGTTTCTACCTCCCTGTTAGCGGATAGGCTGAGGGTGTGGTTCAAGGCATTAAAAAGTCTTTGTACTGTCATAGTGGGCACCCAAAAAGCCCTTGTTAAGTAAATGAATTAATGCACTTTCTTTAGGAAGGAAACACTTGCCAGGCAGAAGCCTAGGCTCCAGGGGTAAGAACACCAGAGCTCTGGTTCCTGTCCAGTGACCTCTGTTATCAATTACAGTGGGAGGGTAAAAAAACAGCCAATCAGCAACAACCTCTTCAGAGGCCATACAGAAATACCGACAGGTTTTTACCTCTACATATGAATCTTTTATGGGGGTCTGTGCACGTTACTATGCTGACCATATTGTTAGTTGTAAGTGTAACGATATAAAAATTATGACATAATTTTTTGAAATCCAGAGTCTCCTAGCATATTCAACTGTTAAAACGCATGTGTCTCAATGAATCAGGCTAAACTGAAGCTGGAACTAAATATAGTAAAGTAAAATCCTCATCCATCAGGCACTTTTTACACCCCGCACCCTCACTCCCCCTACACAGAAACACGCCCCGGATATGAGATATGAGCTCCGCTTAGGCAGATGTGCCAGGTGAACACAAGTCCCAACACGCGTGGGTTAAACGGCCAACTTAGGTTACCAAGGGCTTAAGACTCACAGCATCTTTCAAGGTAACAGACACCAGGGGCTACATTAAAAATGTGGGTTTTCCTACACACCTAGAGCAGGTTTGGTAACAATGTACTTCCCAGGAGAGAACAGTGAAGACACAAAGCGAATTTCACTCAACAGCGCACGCCCCTCGGGGAACCCTGCGCGTGCGCACACTGCGAAACAGAGCAGCCGGCTCGTGGCGCTATAGCTTTTCTTTCCGCTCCAGACGCTCAGTGCCCGCCTCCGGGCCGGAGGGAGCATATGATTGGTCAGTCTGGCCCTGGGTCGGAGATTTAGTGATTGACAGTAATGCCCAGAGACAGGCAAGCTGGAAGCCTGAGTAGCGGGTGAAGTTATCTGCGGCCGCGCGGCCGAGGTAAGTAAGAGTAGGGCTTCGGGAAAGCGGTTGGCTTGGGGCTGAGGAGGCGACCCTTGGCCTGAAGGCGCTGGGAAGCTCTGATACCAGTCAGGGTGGGAGGCTGAAGGAGCCCGTTCGGGCAAGTGGGACGCCGGTTGGGTGTCTGCGCCGCGGCTGAAGGGAGGCGGGGATGTTCTCGGGCAGCCGGGCTGCTGAGGGTCTTGCTGGGGCCGGGGCTGCGGCGGAGCAGAGGGCAGCCGTGAAAGCTGGGACTCACCCACCCAACCACGCGTCTACCCCACGTCTCTCCCCACCTGCCCAATGGTCCCCCTCCCCAGCCCGCAGTTCGTGCGCAGGCCGCTAGGCGGCGATTTCCTTGGGTGTCTAACGCTTTCCCCGGACTGGGCGGGCCGGCCCCGCGGATCAGTCACCCGGAATCCGGAAGGAGGAGCACCCTGGCTGGGAGGTTTAACCAGCCTCTCGTAAGCTTTTGCCTCCCAGGACTTCCCAGTATACCTTTCTCACCGTGACAAGGATTTGCTGTAAGCCCCAAAGAAAAGGTCGACTGTTGTACATTTAAAAATACATTTCATTACGGAAAACTTTATAAACTGTGCAGAGGTCGAAAGGATGATATAAAGAACTCGGTGTACCCATTACCTGACTTCAATTAATGAACGTTTGGCCAGGCCCGCTCGCCTCCCCGAGTTACTTTGAAGTAAATCCCAGACATACCACTTCAACTCTTACATATTTCTACGGCTTTGTCATCATCAGTAATAATACTTCTTTTCCAATCATTTGCTTTCTAGAGGGGTTGAGTAAAATAAGGCACACTTTGAGGTGTGGACAGTGCATATTTAGTTTGCGATACAAGAATGTTGGAAGTTCTCCCACGGAGCAGTTTCACTACCCTGTCTTCAGGTTTTCAAAATTTCTGAAAACAAGGGTACCAAACAATCTAGTTTTGACAGTAGTGATACTGCTTTTAAACAGTAATAATAGTATTGTTCATTTTTGTTTATAGAGTTCTTGGTATGTATGAAGCACGTGAAATTGTTCCCATCTATTAATTTAATTTTACAACAGCCTTGTGAAGCAGGTAGACCATTTCACAGATGAGGCAAAAAGAGGTCTGGAGAGGTTAAGCAATTTGCCTGAGGTCACATTGATTCATGGGGTTGGGGGAGCCTGGGATTAGGTGTGCTAACCCTTGTCAGTTCAAAGTTCTTGCTCTTTTAACCATAATTGAATGTTCTAAGAATTGTAGAGTAAATATAATTGCTGTGACTTATTTCTATTGAGCTGAAAATCCATAATGGAAAAAACAGCTGGAAATTTATAGTGTAAAGGTAATAAAGATACTTTTGTTTCTTTGAAACACTAGAAGGTTAACACAACTGAGTTTAAAGTTATGGCAAAATGTATGAAGATCATAAATACAAGTGCTAAAATTTTATTCTATAGTATATGGCCAGTTAAAGGGGAGAGGAAAATGCAAAAAAATACACATCAGTGAATAGTCTCTACCTTCTTGAGCACTTAGCCTATACTGGCTATTTACACGGAAAACTTTAATCTGTATTTCCTCATCTTCCCAATCTTATGCTATTTCTAAAACAGCATCTTTATCCAAACAGTGTTAGAAGAGTAAGGAACTAGAGACAGACAACTGGGCTTATTCAGAGGACAACAGAGAAGACTTGTTAAATTGGAGTTTAGGATTCCTGTTGTAGGAGTAATTCAGAAGTAAGGTTAGACTCACATGTGAAGGAACTTGAGTGCACAAAGAAGTGATCCGATTATGGCCATCTCATAGGAAGATGTGAGGGGCTGCTTCACCTATGATGTGGAAAGGTTGACCTGGTGAATATAAAGGAAGTAGATGTAGGTAACTGAATTTATGGATGTAAGGAAAGGAATGAAGAGAAAAATAGCATGAAAAAAGTGTGGTTTTGAACTGCTAGTAAACTTCAGGTTCACAGGTTTGTTTTCCTGTGGCAGTTTTATAAAAAAAAATTGATGAATGAATAATTTCAATGAAGCATAGTTGGCATACAATATTAGTTTTGAGTGTACAACATAGTATCAACATTTATATACATTGCACAGTGATCATCACAATAAGTCTAGTTACCATCTGTTACCATACAAAGTTATTTTAATATTATTGGCTATATCTCTGTACTTTACATCCCTGTGACTTACTTATTTTATAACTGGAAGTTTGTACCTCTTAATCCCCTTTGCCTATTATACCCACTGTCTCCCCTCTGGGAGATAACCTGGCAACCACTAGTTTGTTTTCTGTATCTGTGAGTCTGTTTCTATTTTGTTTGTTTTGTATTTTAGATTCCACGGTATTTGTCTTTCTCAACCTGACTTACTTCACATAGCATAATGCCTTATAGGTCCATGCATGTCACAAATGGCAAGATTTCATTCTTTTTTATGGGTCAGTAATATTTCATTACAATATACTACATCTTTATGCACTTGCCTATTGATGGAGATTTAGGTGGCTTCTGTATCTTGGCTGTTGTAAATAATGCTTTAATAAACATAGGGATGCACATCTTTTCAAATAGTGTTTTTATTTTCTTCAGATAAAAGTAATCCTGGATTGTGTGGTATTTCTATTTTTAGTTTTTTGATGAACCTCCATACTGCATTCCATAGTGGCTACACCAATTAACATTCCCACCAGTCTTACACAAGAGTTCCCTTTTCTCAGCATCCTCTCTAAAACTTGTTATTTCTTTTTTTGTTGTTTTTACTAGCCATTCTGACAGGTGAGAGGTGATATTGTGGTTTTGATTTGCATTTCCATGATGTTTAGTGATGTTGAGCTAATCATGTATTGTTTGGCCATTTTTGTCTTTAGTAAAATGTCTGTTCAGGTCCTTTGCCCACTTTTTAATTGGATTTTGTTGTTGTTGAATTGTATGAGTTCTTTATATATTTTGGGTATTAACTCCTATCAGATATGTTATTTGCCAACATTTTTGCCTATTCAGTAAGTTGCCTTTTTGTTTTATTGATTGTTTCCTTCCCAGTGCAAAAGCTTTTTAGTTTGATGTAATCTCACTTTTTATTTTTGCTTTTGTTGCCCTTTGCCTGAGAAGACATATCAAAAAAAGAAGAAAAAAAGTGCTGCCAAGACTGATGTCCAAGAGTTTACTGCCTATGTTTTCTTTTAGGAGTTTATGGTTTCAGGTCTTATATTTCGGTCTTCAATCCATTTTGAGTTTATTTTTGTATGTGATGTGTAAGAAAGTGGTCTGGTTTCATTCTTTTGCATGTAGGTGTCCAGTTTTCCCAATACCATTTATTGAAGAGACATCTTTTCCACATTGTATATTCTTGCCTTCTTGTAGATTGATTTGACCATAGAAGTGTGGGTTCATTTCTGGTTCTCTATTTTGCTTTATTGATCAGTGTGTCTGTGTTTATGTCAGTGTCATACTTTTTTGGTTACTGTAGCTTTGTAGCATAGTTTGAAATCAGGGCATGTAATACCTCCAGCTTTGTTCTTTCTCAAAATTGCAAAAATTTTATTGACTATTAAAGGTCTTTAGTGTTTCCATACAAATTTTAAGATTATTTTAGTTCTGTGGAAATGCCATTGGTATTTTGATAAGGATTGCATTGAATCTGTAGGTTGCTTTGAGTAGTATGGACATGTTAACAATGTTAATTCTTCTCTCAGTACAACATATTTTTCCATTGATTTGCTATCTTCAATTGCTTTTATCAGTATTTTATAATTTTCAGAATATAGGTCTTTTACGTCCTCCATTAAATTTATTCTTAGGTATTTTATTCTTTTTGGTGCAATTGTAAATGGGATTATTTTCTTAATTTTCCTTTCTGATAGTCTGTTATTAGTGTATGGAAATGCAGCCCATTTCTGTATATTAGTTTTGTACCCTGCAACTTTACTGAATTTTTTCATTAGTTTTAATAGTTTTGATGAAGTCTTTAGGTTTTTCTATATGTAGTATCACATCATCTGCAAATACAGGCATACCTTCTTTTTATTGCACTGTGCTTTGTTGTGTTTTGCATATACTGCATTTTTTTTTACAAATAGAATGTTTGTGAAATATATTTCACCACTGTTTCTATGCTTTATTTTTTTAAAAACAACCACATATATATGTTAGTTTGCGACTTTTTTCATTTAGCCATCCTTTCATGTATAACTTTTTGCTTTAATGACCATAACCTTGGAATGGGTGTGTTGAACTTAAGTGCTTTTCCAATTGATGTACATTTAGTGTGCCTCTAGATTTTTTCTTTAAGTCTAGTACTTAGTAAAAACCTTTACCAGCTTTTAAAAACTAAACATCTTTGTTTACAAAAGTATAATTTACTGAGTTTTTCCACTAACGCAGTTTTTATACACATAATATGCAGGAGATAGTAATTATTACAGTTTATCAAAATCACCTTTATGGTGAGTTTTCATCACTTTACTGGACCCAAGGATAGCACTTTTAGCAAAAAAATATTGACTTCAAGTAATCAGTGTGTTCGTTTCTGCTCATGTTCAGGATAACTTAAGATATTTGATAAATTCTTTCAAAAGATTATTTTAAAATTGATGCCCAAACTTAATTTGTTTGGGATTAAGTACATGGGAATGCTTAAAATAAAAATAAGGAAATATGTACTTATGTTATTCACTGTGGGGTTATATTTCAGAGATCCTCCCATGAAAATGGTATACCTTTAGTTCAAATGGAAATGTAAAACTACCTTTAAACTCTCTTCTATCATATAGAGAGAAAATTGATTTCTCAAAATGTTACAGAAGACATCCTTCAGAAGTTTAGTAGACCCATTGACTTGAAATAATTTTCATCAAGTTTTAACAAGCTAATTAGACTTCTTAGATGTATTATTTAAAGTTTTTATTTTTTGTGGAAATGTAGTATAGGTCATGAGATTTATTCATTTGTGGACTGAAAAAAATGGCACTTAGTGTATGTCAGATTGCTAGGTATTGGGAATAT